GAGAGAGAGAGAGAGAGAGAGAGAGAGAGAGAGAGAGAGAATGGATCCCCTTAACACAGCTCAGAGAGAGAACAGATCCCCTTAACACAGCTCAGACGGCCCATGTAGGCTATCTGAAGGGTCCTCGCAGACATGTACCGCAGACTCCCCCACCAAAATCGAGGCAGGCAGTGAATATGAAAGAGAGCACGAGCTGGCCGAACATATACTCAAGATTCGAATTCAGGTCTGTGTTTATGGGTTGCTCACATAGCTAGGGCCTGTTGGTCTCTGCACGTGACTCTTAGGGCTTGGCTGCACTACTCACGAAGTGTGCAAAATTAGAATGAATTTTCTGCAGAACATGGAATAATACGCCACCATATGTTTTGTCTTTTGCGCATTTGGTGAGTAAAGGCCCTTAGGGCCACTGCACGTATTCCTAAGAAAAGAAAAAAACGAGAAAACAGGGAAATGGTGACATGCACAGACCTGAATTCGAATCCAGACTATATATTCTCTGCCCACCCTCAGCGAGTACAAGTTTAAAGCGTATCTCTGCATGACCTCGGGTCCTAGCTAATATGCTATAGGGATCCTTCCGAAAAGAGGCTGGACACTAGGACATTTTTGTTTTTTTATTTTTTTAATGCGCCACATCACTTGTGCGTGTACGCATGTGCGTGCGGCACCCCGCGCATGAGATACACTGCAAGTATGATTTGAACACATCTCTCTCTCTCTCTCTCTCACACACACACACACACACACACACACACACACACACACACGCACACAAAGGGGGTCCGAAAGGGGGTCGGAAATCCCCCGACAGGTGAGTGTGCTGGGGGGGCCTGGACCCCAACCGGGTGCCCTGCCCGGCCAGGCCGCACGGGACCTCCCCCCGGCCCTTGCCGGTCACCCAGGCGGCCCGGAACCTCACTCAGCTTGACACCTGATAACATACCAAAAAAGAGAAAAACGCTCACCAAAAACACCTTCACAGCCACAGCTAGGCCGGGTATGGAAAACACAACTCTAAACTACTAGAACGCACAGCTACACCTAGGAAAGCACGCAGTGGAGCCAGGGCATTCAGGCAAAGACTGCAATGGAGACTTATGGCCGGGACTCACCGACTAGGACTAGGACTAGGTGGACGTCTAGGACTAGCAAAAACTGTACTCCATCTCAGTCCTAGTCCTGGCCGGATGAGGCCTGACCTTCCCCACAACATCATAGCCTAAGATGCCAGACCTCCGATACTCACCCATGTGTGCCCCATGTGTGTGTGCTTATGTGCCAGAAACTGGCAGAAAGTACAATAGGTTAAACCACCACTGTCGGCTACTGACTTGTAGATAGCATTCAACTCAAGGAAACAGCCATCCAACTGCATCTCGAAGACACAGGCAACAATCCCGCACAAACTGGAATCGAGAGAGAATTTCTGTTCTTGTTCCATTATTTCTCTTCTGGTCATTGTTCGCTCACATCCTCCTGCTGATCTTTCAGATCTGGTGTCTGGTGACCTTAAAGCATAGCATGCAACTGAGATACAAACTTTAAAGATTACATAATTGTGAAAAACCCAATTGTCTTGTTGTATTTTCACGACTTGCCGGGCGAGAAGTAACTGGACTGATGCTCCCAGAATGGATATGGAGCCAGGACCATAAGGCCCTGTTTTATTTCTTAAAAAAAAAAAAAAAAAAAAAAAAAAACAATCATCATCTGTGAAGCAAATTTAGAAACCCAGTGGCAGGCAGATTCCCTTGTCCCATGCGCCCTTGAAATGGCGTCATAAACACTGCTGGGCATACAGAACTGATATTATCATCCAGAAACATCACAGAAGAGCAAACATCCAAATAGACACTGTGGATGATATTCAGACCTCTGAGGCGCAATCTGACAAGAACTACTTTTGAGTTGCTTACCTCGTAAGCAGCAGACAATTTCACATTGGGTCGAAGGGCATTTATAGCTGCCTGATGTGCTTCTAGAAGCGTCTTGTATGCCTGGTATCACATTCATTTAGATCAACAATACAGATCATAAACTTCTTCAGCAATGACTCAATCTTGCCCTGGTGTTATGAGAGAATTAAGGAATGAAGCAAACATCTGCCTGAGCTCCTGAGCTGCAATAGACAGACACTGTGCCGTGCAAGAAAGCCAAGCATGCGGCAGATGGACATTACCATGGAAAAATATGTTAATGAGAGCACACACACACACACACACACACACACACACAAGCGGACACATGCAAAGTCCAACGATACAGTCTGACACCGTCATGCTTTTTTTTTTTTTTTTGGGAGTTGTGCATAGCAAACATGACAACACACACACAGGGGAAACACATATGTGGGAAGCAAAATTATGAAAACAAGAAAAAAGGACACGGACCATTTGGAAGCGTCGATGCCAAATCACGATAGAGGGTACAACAATGCATAGACAAGAAGCTAAGGAAATCTTCCCATCCCTCATCGAAACACACTTTAAGGCACTGTGGAAAGCGGTGAGGAACCGGGTACGTAGGCAGCAGGAACAAGAGGAAGAAATCTTGAAACGCTTCAAGCAAACGGTACTCAGTGATGGAGCGGTAGCATCAATCCAAGGAGCACATTTAATCTTCAGATGGAGAGGGGGAGGGCGCTGATCATAGAATTACAGGGAAGAGCGAAAGGGGGAAAGGAACTCAAGCAGTGGAAGGTAGGGTTTAGGGTTTAAGAAAAAAAAAGAGGGAAAAAAGAGGAAGAGATCCAGGGTTAAGAGTCGAAGGAAGGGTTCAGGGGTTAAGGGTCATACTCGGGTGAAAACAGGGAGAGTTTTAGGGTATAGGAGAAGTAATTTCTACCTGGACGTCTTGGAACAGATAAATCAGGACAGCATTAGGACTGAGGGTTTAGGGTTTATGGCTTAGACAGAAACAAGGCAAAAGCTGTTATAGAATTTTAGAGGCTTCAAAAGGCATATAAGTGTTCCAGAATGCTCGTGCATAATCATAGATAACCGACAGTTTCATAGCTGAGAGGAGCAGATCTGGTATCAGATAGATTGGCAGGCAGAGTTAGTGCAGGCTAGATTAGGCAGGGGGGAGAGGTGGTACATCCTTCCTCAGGGAAGTTATCAATGCTGCCTACTCGGGCCTCTCAGCCATAATGGGGAGGAGCGTGTGTGAGTCTTTTATGTATTCCATATTGACTTGCCGGGGGAATAGGAACCGGACTGTCGCTCCCCAGAATGGTAGGAGCCAGAACCGTGAGGTTCTGTTTTTTGGAAAAAAGAAAAAAAGAAAAAAAAGGAACCAGACTGATGTGGTCCTTCGGGACATCCGTTAAAATTGGAATGATACAGAGAAGATTAGCATGCCCCCTGCGCAAGGATGACACGCATAAATCGAAAAATGATCCAATTAAAAAAGAAAAAGAAAAGGAACCAGACTGACACTCCCCAGAATGGAAAGGACCCAGAGCCATAAGGTTCTGCGAGGCACAAGACCTCAATAAGCCTCACTGGTTCCTATTATCAGCAAGGTCGCCCGCTTCAAGTGAGGGCAGGCCAGACCGAGGGCTAGTTTGGACTACTACGCAACTGGGGGAAATTCAGGCAGTTGCGCAGCGCCAGTTGGTTGGAAGTACTCAGGCCAAGGTTGTCTTTCATCGTATGTAACTGAGGCAGGCCCTGGGCCGGATACGCAATATGGACCGAACAAAGGCTGAAGGCAGTTGGGCGCTAGTAACCGCCACAGGCCCTGGACCTGTTTCCTTTGGACTGAGGCTCAGCCTCCTGGGGCCTACCGGAAGCTTCTGGGCGCTTCGATCGACACCAGAGAAAGAGGGGGCGCAGTACCGCGTTACGGCACGCAGCAGCAGGCCACTTCGATATAGGGAAGGGCCTGCCCACGCATTGGGCTGGCCAACGCTCACTCGCTCACGGGCGAGCTGGAAGGAGCAGGCAACCATAGCCGAGCTGTGCTGCTGTATGCTGGATGGGGTGCATGGTGGTTCTTGGGTTCAAGTGGCATCTGTGAGTTGAGAATCGAGGTTGTGAGTGATACGAGAGACATACCTGGTGCTTGAGGCGAACGCCATTGGCCGAGATCTGCTCGTACGTCAGGGAGTCAGCAGCATTGTAGATAGGCTAGATAGGATCTGCCATCTGGGCGCCGAACGCCAGATAGGATATCGACATTGGTTCTTCATTGTGATGATCAGACTATTCCAGCATTGTCAATTACGAGCTTTTGCTGTGCTCTTATTTGGTGAAACTCGTGATGCAATTCTGCTATTGATTCGAGGTCACGACTATCTGGTCTCATGTGTATGATGCTGTTTGATTTCTGAAGTTCGCTATCGTTCATTTTCCTTGCAGTTCGGTTCAAAAATAAATAAATAAATAAAAATCCGTGGCACATTGCTTCAGGCCGATGGTCCACATTTTTTACATGTGGAGGGGAACGTTAAGACTTCAGATGCTGTCTCACCTCCATTCAGAAAAGACACACAGTTGGCCTACCAGCACACTGTGACTGCACCATTTGCGAGGGCATTCCTCAGCATTCATTTTTACTTTTTTATTTGCTTTTCTTCAGGCTAGGCACCTGACTGCCTCCATTTTAGGGATCCAGCCTGGCACCACAGACCACACTGGCGCATACATAAAAAAACAAGAAAAACAAAAAAAAAAAACAGATGTGAGCAAGCATCTCCGAGCACCAGGAATAAAGGGTAGGTACTAGGAAGCGAGCTCACAGCCATTCCAAGAACCATGGTACATGAGCCTGAAAATGAAAAAGAGACTGCTTTTGGCTTTTAGAAGTTACCTCTGTGTCCTCTGGGCAGTGGGCATACATTAAAATTTCAGAACCAGCGCAACATGAAGAGAACCACCACTACCGTTGCAGAATACTCTGTGAATCTAGTGTTGCAGGGGTTTTAATTTTTAAATCTTTTGTTTTCTATTTCAACAGAAGGACGTTGCCGTTTTGGGTAGGTGGTACTTGCAAAAAAAAAACTAAGGAAATTGAGGAAAAAGAAGAAGAGAAAAGTTAGATACCGTAGGGATATCAGAGCCAGACGAAGGGAAAAAGAAGGATGTATGCTGGTCTTAGGAAGACTGCAGGCTCTTACCAGGGGGGATTGGCTCCCTCAGCTGGTCAAGATGCAGGAGCCCCCCCCAGACCAGGCTGATCTGACTCTGGCTCAGGCACTCTGGCTCATCAGTGCCTGACCCAGAGTCGGAACAGCTTGGTCTGGGGAGGCTTCTGCATCTTGATCAACTGAGGGACCCAATCCCCCCTGGTCAGAGCCTGAAGAGTGTTCGTCAGACTCCATAGCACACATCCTCCCTTTTCCCTTCCTCTGGCTCTGGGATGAGGAGGTGTTTCCCTTCCGGGAACTGGTCTGGACATGGAGGGTTGCCTCCATGTCCAGAGCTGCTCTGCCAAAAGCCCTCCAGTCCTTGTAGTGGGCAATGACAGGGCCTCATCGTTTGAATCCGGTGCAGCCAGGATAAACCACTTCAGTTTTTCCTCTTCAGACATGGACAAACCGGGAGTAGAGGTGAACTTCTCCCATTCTGAGTACAGCAGTGAGAGGGACCATTGCCACTTCGTTTGGCCCATCTTAACAAGCTCATCAGCTGCCTTCTGGGACCGTTCCTTGTCAGCAAACCTCTACTCCAGACCCTGAAACACACCATCCGGTGCTATGGAAGGGATCCATAGCTCAGCCAGCTGCTTCTGGGCCTTGGTGGCCTCAGAAGTGGCCCAACCAATGAGGGTCGTTACTGTGGCCCGTACCTTGTCCACTTTGGGACAGGTATAGTACTTTACGTAAGACTCGTTTCAGCTAATCCAGTCTGAGACGTCCACTTTGGGATCTTCACCTGTGAACTTCTTAGGCTGGGCCATCTTGGGGAACCGGGGTTGCTGCTGGACCCCAGTGGGCACACCCCCAACAACCAGCGTCAGCTTCCCTTGTGGAGGAGGAGGGTGCTGGCTCTTGGAGGAACCTGTACGAGAACTCTTAGCAGAACTGGCAGGTGTAGTATGGCTGGGAGTCGGATGGGCAGAAGAACGAGGGGTAGGAGAGGGCACAGGAGAAGGTGGGAAGTGCTCAAAGAATGCTGCTGATAACTGCTCCAGCGTTTTGTCAATAGATGACAGTTTGGATTCCACTGTTGAGATCCGTTTATCCCGCGTTGTGAAGACATCCCCGGTGTGGGCAGATTCCAGCAGAATCCACTCTGCCATTTTCTGAGTAATCTCAGAAACCTGGGCATCCGTGGTCACCCTGGCAAAGCGTTCCAGCAGCTCATTCTTCCTGCCAACTTCTTTCCCCTATCTTCGAAGCTGAAGCTTCTTCTTTGCCGAGGGAGCTGGCTCTACCTCTCCTGATTAATTGCTGGTGGGCGTGACAAAGTGCGGTGGTGTTCAGTGGTTTCTGACTAGCGCTGATGTAGGGAGGAGGCGCTGGTGGTCTGCAGATTCAATTGGTTGAGCGCTGGTTTCTGGATGAGCGGCACAGCCCAGGGTCTGTAGTGATGATGATGGTGGAAGGAGAAGTCCAGGGGTCTGGATTCAGTTTGTTTGGGATTGTTGAAACATAGTTGGGGATGCTTGGAATTTTTGGGCATCTGATTGATAGGAAGAGGAAGAGGGATAACAGATTTGAATTCAATTTTACTTCTATTCTGAAAGTTGAGCTTCCCTGGTGTACTTTCTCTCCAGTTTGTGTGGATTTGTCTTCTCCAAGTCTGCTTTGCCATTGCATACGTGCATGGGAACGTGTGGATGCCTTGCTGGATGGAAGTTCAATCAGTCATAGAACAGTCGTATGTCACAGATTGCAAGAGAATTGCCTTTTGTAACGTCATCCTTCCAGTGGTTCGCTATTCTTTTGTGTCAGACGAACGAGAAGGAAGGATGACTGCTTTTTCGTGTCTTTTTGTTTTTTGTCGTCTGCCGTCACGTGGGAAAGATTGCCTCACCGTCCATAGCACTCACG